ACCCATATCCAGAATAAATATCTATTCCAGTAAGAACAAAATGCTGTCCTTTCCATGATGGAAGTGGTCTAATGTAATCAACCTGCCACCAGGTTGCTGGCTGATCACCCCAAGGAATGTTTGCATACATATCGTGGACTCAGTGTTGGTCTCTGCTGCTGGCAGGTTGGGCACTCAGCAGTGGCAGCAGCCAAATCAGGCTTGGTAAGTGGAAGTTCATGTTGCTGAGGCCATGCATAACCCCCATCCCTGCCACCATGACCACTTTGTTCATGAGCCCATTGAGCAATGACAGGAGTAGCTGGGGAAAAAGGATGGCTGGTTTCCACTGAACATGTCATCCTATCCACCTGATCGTTAAAATCCTCCTCTGCCAAGGTCACCTTTTGGTGGGCATTCACATGAGACACAAATATCTTTACTTCTTTGGCCCATTCAGAGTGACCTGTCCACATACCTCTTCCCCATACATCCTTATCACCAATTTTCCAATCATGTTCCTTTCAAGTCCCAGACTATCCAGCCATTCCATTAGCCACAGCACATGAATCCATATATAATCTATATCGCACATCTGGCCATTTCTTACTCCATGCAAAGTGAACAGCCATATATATGTGCAGCTCGAAGTTCTGCCCATTGGGAGGATTTCCCTTCACCACTGTCCTTCAAGGAAGTCCCAGAAAGGGGCTGCAATGCTGCTGTTGTCCACTTTCAAGTGGTGCCTGCATATCATGCAGAACCATCTGTAAACCAAGCACAAGTTTTTCTTCCTCAGTCAACTGATCATAAGGAACTCCACATGAGGCCATAGGTGAAGACTGGGAGAGGGAAGGTAATGTGACTGGAGTGGAGACCACAGGCATTTGGGCCACTTCCTCATGCAACTTACTTGTGCCTTCAGGTCCTGCTTTAGCCCTATCTCTGATATACCACTTCCATTTAATGATGGAGTGCTGCTGTGCATGTCCAACTCTATGACTCTGTGGGTCAGACAACACCCAGTTCATGATGGGCAGCTCAGGCCTCATGGTGACTTGGTGGCCCAGTCTCTACTAAAGCCCAATAACAAGCTAAAAGCTGTTTCTCAAAAGGAGAGTAGTTATCTGCAGAGGATGGCAGGACTTTGCTCCAATATCCCAAGGGTCTGCATTGCGATTCACCAATAGGGACCTGCCAAAGACTCCAAACAGCATCTCTATCTACTGCAGACACTTCAAGCACCTTTGGATCAGCCGAATCATATGGCCCAAGTGGCAGAGCAGCCTGTACAGCAGCCTGAACCTCTTGCAGAACCTTCTGTCATTCTGGGCTCCACTCAAAACTAGCAGCTTTCCGAGTCACTTGATAAATAGGCTGCAGCAACACACCCAAATGAGGGATATGTTGCCTCCAAAATCCAAAGAGGCCCACCAGATGTTGTGTCTCCTTTTTAGTTGTGGGAGAAGCCAGATAGAATAACTTATCCTTCACTTTAGTAGGAATATCTCAACATGCCCCACACCATTCGAACCCTAGAAATTTTACTGAGGTGGAAAGTGCCTGAATTTTTGTTGGGTAAATTCTGCAACCTCTAGCACGCATGTGTCTCATCATAAGTCTAGAGTCATCGAGAGTTCTTCCTTACTGGGTCCGATCAGCATAATGTCATCAATATAATGGACCAGTGTGATGTCTTGTGGAAGGGAAAGGTAATCAAAATCCCTATGGACTAATTTATGACTTAATGCTGGGAAGTTGATATACCCCTGAGGAAACACTGTGAAAGTATACTGTTGGCCTTGCCAGCTGAAGGCAAACTGCTTCTGATGGTCTTTTGAAATTGGTATTGAGAAAAAGGTATTGGCCAGGTCAATAGCTGCATACCAAGTACCAGGAGATGTACTGATTTGCTCAAGCAATGAAACCACATCAGGAACAGCAGCTGCAATTGGAGTCACCACCTGATTAAGTTTACGATAATCTACTGTCATTCTCCAAGACCCATCTGTTTTTTGCACAGGCCAAATAGGTGAATTAAATTGAGATGTGGTGGGACTCACCATCCCTGCATCCTTTAAGTCCTTGATGGTGGCAGTAATCTCTGCAACCCCTCCAGGGATGCAGTACTGCTTTTTGTTTACTATTTTTGTAGGTAGAGGCAGTTCTAATGGCTTCCACTTGGACTTTCCTACCATAATAGCCCTTACTCCAGGAGCTGTTGCAGGCTCCTTTATGATAATATTTTAGGGTTAGAATCTAGCCTCAGAGTTCTGAAAATGTTCAAAGATGTGCACAGCCTGCTTAGCAGAGCCCTTCAAACTTCACAAGTATAGCATTTATCATCCACAGAAAGTAGTACAGACACTTTGCAAGACCTAAATTCAATTCAACTCATCTCCCCTGAAATGCAGAAAAAGGCAAGTAGAAAGAAACTAGTCTTTGGACATCAGACTGCATCCCTAGTATATTATTCTAAATTTCTCTTTGGCTATCTTGTTGCCAGAAGTCTTGTAAACACTGACTCAGGAGCATAACCCAGGAATTTAGATGAGGGTTTGCTGGAGCCAAAAGCAGGATGCTCGCAGACACCATCTTATCCACAAGCTCAGCATATGATTCAGGCTCTTAGTTATGACTTCATGATGCTCCCATGTGTGCAGAGCATTGTGCTCCATAGGGTTTTCAAGACCATGACTTTTCAGAAGCAGATTGCCAGGCCTGCCTTTCACTATGCCTCTGGGTGGGTTCAAATCCCACAACCTTTCAGTTAGTTGTCAAACATTTAACCATTTATGACTTGCCATGAACTGGAATGTACTCAATGACAACTGGTACTGGTAGGCATGATGTAGGCCAATACTGTGATTAAAGAAGAGAACCTGAGGTTTAAAGGAGGGGAGGAGATTGACCCTGGTCCCACTGCCAGTAAGTAGCTAAATTATAACACTGTTCCTGCTTCCTGAACCTCTTCCTCTGCCCTCAACTGCCACCTGTACTGACCAGACTTGTGCTTCAGGTACACTGGGGGCCAACCTTTTTGCTCTTGCCTAAAGTATACAAGCTCCTCCTTTTGGCCAAGCTTCCTCCTCTTCCCCAATGATCCCATTCTACAGCCCATTCCACACCCTCCCCTCACTTGCACCATGGCTGTAGTGGCAGCATAGCCCAGTGTCAGTGGCCAAAGTGGAACTTGGCCACCTTGTAGATCTTCCCATAAATGAAGAGCACCACACCAAGTGGCAGGCACAAGGCACCACAGGTGGAGAAGGCTGTCCAGTCACATCTACCTTAGGCAGGACAGAACCTGCCTCAATGGGTTCTGTCCAAAATCAACAGTGAACTCAGGCTTGGCAAACTTTTTGGTGTTCATTTCGCCATGATTTCTCTGGGTGCACATTGGACTGATGTAGCTATTGAAAGCCAGCCCTACCTTAGTAATGAGACAGAAGCTATAATCACCCCCAGGCACTTCCAAGACCCTTTCAAAGAATGTCATTCATTGATTCTGAATAAAAATCTGTGCAATCAACATTTCCCAATTATGGTCTTGACATTCCTATTTTATATTACAGAATTCCTCTGCCATTTAGTGAAGAAAAAAAAAAGTCTACTTTTAAAAACATACATTTTTCTGATTAGGCGAAGTAACCAAGTTATTTCTTAAAAAATTAAACTAACAACAACAACAAAAAAAAGGAACAAAAAAATTTCCCCTCTGTTTTTTTACCCCTTCATGAGCCCCATCCCTAGCACATATATTTGGTAAGGGGCAATAAATCCTATTATTCTTCACGTATGGGGGTGTGTTACTTGGAATACTCCCTCTCCCGAAGAAAACGGCACATTTTGAGTTTCCATGGTGAGGAGGGAACTGAACACCTATTGGACCTGACCAAATGGTGGGAGCCTTTGGGGTATAAAAAATGCAGGTTCCTCCATCTCATTTATTCCTAAGGATATGTTCGGCCTCCTATAGACAGGCTGCCAGCCAGGCAACAGGCCCTGTTGATCTGTTTCTTACTCCAGCCAGCTCTACCGCTCACTGAATGCCAGGATCTATGCTAGGTGTGTTACATTCTTCATACTATGTCATCCTCACCAAGAACCCTATGAATTAGCAATTATCTTGTTCAAAGAAGATGAAAGAGTCCCACAGTGACTAAGCAAGTGCCTTAATGTTTGAAGCTGGGATTCAAATTCGCAGGCCTATCTGGCTTCAAAGGAGCTCCGGTGGCATAGTGCCTAAGGCACTTGACTGCTAATCAGAAGGCTGGTAGTTTAAACCCACCAGCCACTCCTCAGAAGGAAAGTTGGGCAATCTACTTCCGTAGTGATACCACCTCAGAAACCCAAGGAGGGGTCGCTATGAGTTGGGTCTGACTCCAGGGCACATAACAACAACAACAACAACAACAGGGGATAGACAGGGCTGAGGGTATAACAGCAAAGCAAAGTGACACTTGGAATATCATCTCTCCTCGTTCCTCCCCACCCCCCTCCTGGGGATATGAGAGAGAATAGACCAGGGTGCGGTGGAGAGAGAAAATAAGGAGTGAGTGGCTAAAATTTTCTCATCTGCAGGGCAAATTCTCAGTCCTCGCCGAACCGGGAAACTGCGGTTTCACATGGACACAACCTCAATAGGAAAGCCACAGAGGGTGCAGCTATTCAGACATGCTCTCAGCACTACCAACAAACGTTGCACCTGCAAGCCTCCTACCGCTCCGCCTAGACTGGATGTCCTCCTGAGCTCCAGCCTCAGTGTGCAGGTGGTGAAACCCTTCGCGCAAGCATCGGGTATGCAGGTAGTGAACCAAAGGCTTGAGCTCCAAATACGCGAGTGACAAGCAGCTCCGTGTGCACTACAGGTGAGCATATGGTAAAATCCTCACCCATGCGCTCCAGGTGTGCTGGGGGGCCAAACTTTTCGTGAGGGCCCCAAGGACACAAACTTCCCCCAACTCTCCGCCTCGCCAGGCTTCCTCTTCCCCTGCCTTATTCCACCGCGCTACCCTCACCTGCACTGAGGGCGGCACTGGCAGCACAGCCCCGCGGCGGCGGCCAAAGCGGAATTTCGCTGCCTTGTAGATCTTCCAATAAACGAAGAGCACCACGCCAAGTGGCAGGTAGAAGGCGCCGCAGGTGGAGAAGACTGCGTAGGAGGGTTCCTGGCTCACCTGGCAGCGTTGGAGCCCGGCGTCGTACGCCTCGCCCCAGCCAAAGAGCAGCGGCGCCAGGGCGATGAGCGCGGACAGCGCCCAGGTGAGCGCGATCATGAGCGCCGAGGCGCGCCGGCGAGTGCGCAGCGTATATTGCAGGTGGCGTGTGATGGTCCAGTAGCGGTCCAGGGCGATGGCTGCCACATTCCAGATGCTGGCAGTGCAGCACAGCACGTCGAAGGAGACCCACACGTGGCACAGGCTCCGGCCCAACCGCCAACGCCGCCCAGCTGACAGCTCGCTTACCAGGCTCAGCGGCATCACTAGGGCCGCCACCAGCACATCCGATACCGCCGTCGAGGCCACCAAGTTGTGCGGCACGCGATGGAAGGCGCGGACGCGCAGTATGGTGATGAGAACCAGCAAGTTCCACAGGAAGGTGGCGGCGATCAGCAGCACCAGCAGCGTCACCACCAGCACTGTAAAGACGGAGAAAAGCGGTTCCCCGCCAGCCTGAACTGCGTCGTGGGGGGTCGATCTGATAACCCCGAACGGGCTTGGGCTGCCGCTGCAGGCCTGGGATCTTGGGGAAAGCGCTACGCCCGCGGCGGCTACGGAGAGGTTAGTGGCCTCCATTGAGCTGCGCGCGGGATCCAGCCTCTCCGGGGCTCACGGAGTCTCGCAGTGGGAGCGTGGGAGGGAGCACTGAGTGCCTGGATAGGGCGGAGTGGGGTCCAGGTTGGTCTTACCTGGTCCCTAGTTCAGGACCGCAGACCCTTTGGCCGCTCTGCCTGGAGCCTTCAATCCAGCTTTGCTCAGCGCGCTAGGCTCTCCTCGCAGTCCTCGGAGCAACCGTCTGCGGTGAAGGTGGGAATCCGAGAGCGTAGCTGAGTGTCTGTGCGTAGGGGCGGGCTGGGAGCCGGACCCCACAGCCACGCAAGGGATGTTTGGACAGACTAGCACCAGGGGTGGGCGAGAGGAGTGTGGAGGACCTGCCAGTAGGAGCAGTCTTTCACGCTGTCCCCGCAGGTCTCCAGCCTCTGGCGAGGAGAGAAACTTAACTGCGGTATCTTACAAGCAGATTGCGCACAGGGTAGGAATTCCGGAGCCGCTACCTTCGCGGAACCTTCGGGCTGTGTGGTGGCACAACTTGCTATCAGGGAAACAAAGGACTCCTGGCCAGAAAGCATCTGGGTTTCTAATATCTTGGTCCCATATATACCTGAAAAAGGGCATCAGGTAGCTATTGGGGTCTACAAAATAGAAAACTCTTAACCCAGGCTGCACCCTGCCGCTTCAGTGGCTGTGCTTCTGCCTGGCGAGTGCTTGAGAGTGACATATGGAGACGTTCATTCTCTGGCTCTTTACAGAAAAGAATGCAGCTTCTAAGCAAGTTTGCAGAAGGGACGGAAGGTGAGCGTTTACAATCTTTTCGCTAGCTCTAGCTGAACACTTCCCTCATCATATCCCCACCTACAACCACAACACACATACACACACACACAGGCATTCACACATGTGCACCCCTTTTCAGATGTTACCATTTCTGACTAGCAGAGCTTGTATATATCTTCCAATTCTTCATATCCAATTTAAAGCTGGAGTTATTTTGTTGACTCTTGGGCAAAGGTAAAAAACCTGTTAAAACAAACAAAGGAAAACCAGTTGCCAGTGGAGTTCACCCAGTACATGGCAAACCCACTGTGTCAGAGTGGAACTGTGCTCCTTGAGGTTTTCAATGGCTGGTGCTTAGGAAGTAGATTGTCAGGCCATACCCTTTTGGTTAGCAGTGGAGTGTGTTAACTGTCTGGACCACCCAGGGACTCCAAATACCAAAGAAAAAAACTGACCAAATTCTTGCTATGACATTGATTCTAACTCTTGATGACTCATGTTAGAGTAGAATTACTCCATATGGTTTTCTTGACTGTAATCTTTATTGAAGCAGATCTCCAGCCTTTCTTCCACGGCACTGCTGGGGTGGGTTGGGACTACCAACCTTTAGGTTAATAGTTGAGCCTAAACTGTTTGTACCACTCATCGACTAGAAATCAATTGTTGTTGTTGTTGTTATGTGCCATCGAGTAATCAATTAAAAGGTGAAATTCCTGTAATCACCTTCTCTCATTTTCAGTCTCAGACACTTTTCTTAAAATAGTGCAATTATAATTAAATCAACATAAAACTTTATTTCTAGTCCTAGGAGTAGAAGCAAAACAATGAATACTGAGCACAAGCTGCCCCTTCTCTTTTCATCGCAGGCCTGGCAATCAACCACAGGCTTCTCATGAAAGCCCTAGGAGCAGAAAAGGGCCTCAGACTAAGCCCCTGGGAGTGAGCCCAGACCATGACAGCAGGAGTCAGCTTCTGTAAGACAGTCTTTTTCTAGAATGGCCACCTAGGTTGCAGCTGGTAGACAGGGTTTCTTCCCTCCTGGAGTGTCCCTGCCTCCTAACAGTTCCATCCCTGGCAACTGGTGTGGTCTTGGGGAGGGGGGATGGACCCTGCAAGAATGCTCTTGTCCTTATCTCTCCCTTCCTCATTCATTCACAGAACAGGTACTTTCTACTTTCTGTGTACAGACTAAACCTGGTATGACAGAGCACTTCTTCATACAGACTTGATAACACACTCGTGGGGCATAAAAAGCAACACAGAAACCAAAGTTTATTAGTGGTTACTAATAAACAGGTGGGCCAAAATTTGGCTGTTTGAATCTAGAGGAACCTAAGAAGAAAGGACTTTAAACCTACTTCCGAAAGATCACAGTACTTAATATAATCCTTCTAGCCATAGTCTTCGTACTTCCCCCCAAATGACTGTGTGAGATTATACGAATGAGGTGTTTGTGGCCCACCAAGGGGACTAGATAGCTTGTTAATAATGTAAATAAGGTGTATGGCACTTTTGTGGGGATGAGACCATGCGAATAATGTATATGGGATCCAATGAGGGGGTTGGTCTGTTTTATCATCCTGCGAGGCTTAAAATGAGCTATCCCAAAGGTGGAAAGTGGGACCTCATGACTCCCAAGAAAGAAGAGCCAGGAGTGGAGTGTGTCCTTTGGACCCAGGGTTCCCGGGCTGGGAATCTCCTCAACCCAAGACACAGAGAGCTGTAACACCAGACATGGAGAGAGAAGGCAAGAAGTAGTGACAGAGAAACAGCAGCAACAGAACCAAGAGTCTGGCATGAGATAGCACGGTGGGCTTCCTAACCCATGGAGCAAAAAAGCTGGGAGCCTTGGGGCAGGAAGCTTACTGGTGGAGTGGGGTGTCTCCAGGCACTTGGTAGAACTAGGTTTGTTGACTCATAGAGCTAAACTTGAGCAACTTTGGTCCCAGGCTTGCTGGTGGAGTAGGGTGCCTCTGGGCACTTATCGGCAAAGCTAAAGAGCTTTGTAACACTTGCCTGAGCAGAGCAGAGACAAGGCCAAGGGGCCAAGGGCCAAAGAGAGGCTTGCCTATGGGCATGGCTGAGAAGAGGCTGTCCTGACCAAAGAACTGTATCCTGCATTGTTTCTGATCTTGATTTTTAACCAGTTACTTCTCTAATGAACCCCATGAGTATTGTCTGTAAGTTCTGTATGGCCATTGTAATGAATTTTTGAACTCAGTAGAGAAGTAGAAAGTGCCCTAGGAGGGAAAGTTGGTGTCAGAATTGGTAAAAATGTTGGAGGGTGGAGGCATGTCTGACTCCTTCTCACAGGAATCAGCCTCAAGCTGTTGATCTTGATTCCCTTTCCTCCTTGTGAAGTTAGAGGAAATCAAACTATTTAATTTTTTTTTTTTTTTTAAAGCAACACAACTCACTCATGGCCGTCAAGTCGGATCTGACTCATAGTGTTGCCTCCTTGGGTTTCAGAGGTGGTATCACTATGGAAGTAGATTGCCCAACCTCCAACCTTCCTTCCAAGGAGTGGCTGGTGGGTTTGAACCGCCAGCCTTCTGGTTAGTAGTCAAATGCCTTAGGCACTACGCCACCAGTGCTCCTAAGCAGCACAAAGGAATCAGAAATACTTGGATGTATAGGCTAAGTGTCAAGTGATTAGTAGAACAACAGAAATGGCAGGCTATTGAAGGATCACAGAGATGGAGGAAGTTGTGGTCAGGAAGGCTTCCTGGAGGAGGAACCTATCAAAGTTTTACTGAAGTGTGAATATTAAGATAATATAAGTGTTGGACAGGATGAATGGAGGACTGGACCTCTGAGTAGGCTGGGCTGGCATGAGTGTGAGTGGCTGGAGTCAAAGCATGTAGGAGGTGATCCATAGTGTTAACACAAGGAAGCTGTGTTTAGATTTGATCATGAAGAAAGCTAGGTTTGGGGAGATTTTGAAAGAATTTACATAGTGAAGAGAATCCTTTAAAAGGAAATGTGTGGGACTTTGTTAGAGTCCCAAGGTTATGCTGTTTTGCTTATGCAGCACTGAAGACGTGCAAGCAGTTTTCTGTACTCTGCAAATAAGTTTGTCCTTGAGCATGCAGGTGCAAGTACAAGTTATTTTTCTCATGCTCCCAGTTCCCAGACAAGAATGTTTATTAAGAATAGGGAGTTTCTATAAGAACTGATATGATTAGCAAGTTGTGTTTTGGGGTATAGTGTCCGTGGGAAAGAACAAGAAATTTTGAGAAAGTTTGTGACTGTGCCTTTGAACTCAGAATAGATATATTATGCCTGCAAAAAATAAAGCTTTGCTTCAGATCATCAGTCTGAGCCTCTCCTTGTTCTTCATCTTCGGCTCTCCCCTTCCCTTGGCTGGACCGCGGCATCTGGCGCCCAACGTGGGGCACTCAGAAGGTACGAGAGACTTTACCGACAGACTTGTGGACTATCAGAAGCCAGGTAAGTCACAAGCATTGAACAGGGAGATGGGAAATAAATCAGGTAAAATGTTGTATATACATTCTTTGCAAAATATTTTCAGGGTACGTGGTGTAACTGTAGAATATCAGCAATTATCTCGTTTTTTG